CTTCGGCTCGACTGAGCCGCCCGGCCCACTTCGGGAGCTGTACGGGCTATAGTGAAAAGCCTGTACAGCAGTCCCTCGGTTCTACTGAACCGAAGGGGTCCTGGGGCCGAAGGATCAGCCGAAGCTGCGGCTAGATCCTTCGTGAATAGACCCCTATGTATTTTAAGGATTGTGGTTTATTATAATTGAAAGAAAGTTGTGAGTGCATCAGTACTTATTTCCTTTTCTATATGCGTTCCATATATGTGGCAGGGGAAATGGAACAATAAAGATAGAATAATTTATGTTGGTGGCCTGGTGACATTGTCTGAAAGACAGGAGAAAAGGTGTTGTATAATTTATTACACGAAAAAAAGAAAGAATAACAAAAATCTATTTTTTTTTTAAGCAGAGCTGTAGAAACTGAGGCATTATATAGGGACTGGCTTAACTTTTTTTGGTTGCCAGTGCCCCAACCTCCTGTAGATGTCAGTATATCCTGGCTGTTCTAGAGTTCCTGTGTCCCTCAGTGGACGATAAAAACAGCATGACAGAGGTTCTTACCCTGACCAGCTTTATCCAAAACTAATTGTAAAAGTTTTTGGCTGGAGTTGCCATTTAAAAAAAACGAAATTTGCATTTTGCTCCCAACACAGCATGTTTTCTACATAGACTACAAGGTTGTTGGCCTCCTGCTGTGCTGATGCCAGATTATATGCTGTTCAGTGTGTTTCTCAAGACTCTATGAGCTTGCTCTCGCATTTTATTATAAATTAAAATAAAATGTGGGTAATTTATTCTGAACCACAAAATCTAACCCTAGACCTGGAATTTCAATGAAAAAGAGGATCTGGTACATGGTAATTTCTTTCTAAATTAGATGATAGTTTGGACAGCTAGAACTCTTATTTTTTTACAGTTGATGATGTAAACAAGTAAGGGGTTGCAAATGTAGTGGGTTTGCTAATCTCTAATGACAAGCATAGGGGAAGGTTCTAATACCTGTGAAGAACCTTGCCCAGACCCAAACCCCTACCCCCCAGCACAGGCCTTGAAAACCAAAGTTTACATACTTATATATACATTCCCCTAGACCAGCCTCAAACACAGGTTTAGTTTAATGTCTTTAAAATAGTGGGAGTAATAAAAGCCCCCCTCAACATTGGTGGCAGTAGGATTCAGAAAGCCCCCCAGCCCTTGTGTCAGTGGGAGTAGTAAAAGTAAAAGCACCCCTTCTGCATTACTGTCAGTGGGGGTAGAAAAATCCCACTCGGCATTTGTGTAATTGGACATAGTAAAAGACCCCCAGGTATCCGTGTCAATCAGAGTGTTAAAAAAGCCCCCCCCCTGCATTGGTGTCAGTGGGAGTAATAAAAGACCCCCCCCAGCATTGTGTAGGCTCCACATATCTTGCCACTCCTCAATGTGGCATCACAGAAATTAGCGGGCAGGAGATCAATCCTCCCAATTGTGCCTGTAAATGATTGCCAGGTGCTGGAACTCGCTACCTTCCAGTGCTTCCCTCCAGCTTGCAATGAGAAAGCCTTGGATGCAGGGGGGCTTCTCACTGTAGAAGGCAGTTTATGACATCCAGCAAGCTATATTTGCAAGGATCAAAATAATGCGTTATGGTGGACATTCATAGAAATATATACGACTTGACTGGATGAAAAGCATAACTCTCACAGCTTTGCCAGGGGTTTGGGAAGGAGGAATCTTCGATCTACAGTATATAACCATACCAAATCACAACTGCCTTTGCAGCTACTAATGCACCTATTAGTCACGATGGCTTGGCATGAATCAGTGCTTACACTGTATTATGTGTTCAGCTATACACAAGCCAAGCCAGATTGTTGGCTCTTGCATTTTTTTGGCTTGTTTGATCCAGTGGAACTGCCACTGCCCAAAAAAATGTAGTGCCAATTTAGCATGTAGTCCTACCATCAACTCCGTATCTGCAGCTGTTGGAAGAAATACAGAAGCACTGTGAATTTATCATGTTACTGTTCACCAGCTGCCACTTAGTCCTAAAGAATATGAAGAAGCCTTAAAAATAAAACAGGCTAAATCCAATGGACATGATGGGTCTATCTAAAACTAGAGAATCAACGGACACACCCCAGGAAAGGTTCACACCAGATGCAGTGCGATCTGTCCCGATTCTGGCCAGAACGCACTGCCACACATTGTGGCTGGCTCACTTTTTGGTGGGGCGGGGGCGGGGCGGGTGCGGTACGGCCATTGAAGTGAATGGCACCGTAGCCACGCCCTCTGGCCGCAATGCAATTGGCATTTGAGATGTCTTAGCCTGCTTTAGCTAATAGGCTACATGGCGGTAAAATGAGCATGGTAGCCAGTCAGCTATGGCACCTCCCATATTAATATCATGACAGGTTTACTTTAAAACAGGCTACTGCAATATGTAGCCTCTTCTCAACCATAATGGTTGTACCAAAGCTAAAAGCTGTGTTCTGCACCATAGCAGATAACTGGAGCTCTTAGGCCTTGTTCACACCAGACACAGTGCGTTTCGGCCCGATTCTGGACAGAACGCACTGCATCCAGCCCACTATGTTGTGGGGCAGGAGGGAGCGTGGCGGTCCATTGAAGTGAATGGCACGGCAGCCACGTCCTCCGGCCGCAAGGCACATTATGCCTTCAGTCCGGTCCAAACAAAATGCTGCAATTTTATTTTGTGCCAACCGGACCGCAGGCATGATGTGTTTTGTGATCATGTGCAGCCGATAGCATTGCGCCCAGAGGGTGTGGCTACGGTGCCATTCACTCAATGGACCGCCACGCCTCCTCCTGCCCCACAACATAGCGAGTCGGTCATAATGCGATGCAGTACATTCTGGCCAGAATCTGTCCAGAACGCACAGTGTCTGGTGTGAATGAGGCCTTAGTGTTACTCTGCAACTTGAAGACAATTAACAGCATAGTGGTGCAAATATTTATGTTTATTACACCTTCTATTTTATTAAAAAAGTAGTAACAAACAGTACAATATAGGAGTTTAAATAACTGTAATGGTGTAGTCTTTTCACCAGGAAAGTGTATACAGAGATGAGACCGGAAATCAGGAATATAGTGGCTGCAGAGGCTTCCTAAGGGACTGACACAGCATCTGTACATCTATGTATACACATTACCTTACTGGGAATTATTCCGTGGACATAGCCACCAATTTCCACAAGCTTGCTGAGGTACAAGTGGCTCTCATATTCCCCTGATGTTGCCCACAGCTGCCTCCTAGCAGGTGATCAGTATCTACCCCTCTGAACAACTGGTGCATTATACTATCCTCAGAAATCAACCAGACATTATCCAAAAGTATTTCAACATTATCAGACAACAGTATTTTTATGTCATCTTTACACTAACCATGACCCCCTATCATCTTTAACATGTGAACTTGGACGGCTCTGCTCTCAGCAAATCACGGATGTAACTTTTGCCAGGGTGTCACCTTATAGGCAAAACATAACTATGGTGTCCTGAAGTACCAGAAAGACAGAACAATGGTGAGTAGCCAAAGACACTACTGCATCCGTTGTTGCAACCCTCCTCAACTGAACTGAGCCCCGAACTGAGCATTGTGCTTGTTTTCATGTGACTTGACTGTTATGAAAGGGAAACTACAGTGTATTCTCAGTGATTACATATTATATGTTATCATTGTAACGTTAACCTAAACCTAGTTCTTGGTGCAACTTTTACATGTTTAGTTGCTTGCATATTTGATTATGGTAGTTTATACAAAGACAAGTACATGCTCCCTCTAGTGGTCACTTGTATGTACTTTTTATGATAAAGTGGGGACAATTATAACTCCCATCAGTTTTCTGTTTTTTTTTATTTTTGTTATCTGTCTCAACTGGGAAGATTCATTCTCTCTATTTGTCCTGGTGACAAACGTCACAGGACAGAAAGTGATGGTAAATTAAAAAAAGCTTACACTTGTCATCGGAGATGAAGGGAAATCCTTCAACGGGGGACCTGTGAGGTAGAAAACCTCTCCAAAGTTAGGGGAAATCCTATCTCTTTCTGTTATGAAGTAAAGTGAAATCTCCTCAATGAGACAACATGGCTAAAAAACGGACAGGGGTTTTGACCACTCCCTATGCTACCAAACTGAGAACGTGTTGGCTTTAGATATACTTTAAGTTCAGCTAAAATGATAGAATATCTACTGTTTTCAGTCAGACCTATCCCACCTGTTCACATAGAGAGCGGAGTAGTGCCGCACAGTCACTGAGCAGTACTAGCAAATAGGGAGCAGAATCTGCATGTGTAATGAGGAAATATAGCTGCCCATGTAAAAAAACAAATAGAAGGTTACATAGAAACAAAGATTTTAAACACATCATCCATCTAATCACACTAACAGACATATAAAAAAAAACTATAGTTTCCCTTTAAAAATCAGGCTTGAAACTCAGCTTCATACATTCTATGCAAGTCATCATTTAGTAGACCAGGATGGCTTTCCTCAGTAATATTTAGAAGGTGGTAGGAAATGTCACTCTTAAAGCAAAATGTGTGAGTGGTCTTATTTCCTACAGCTCTGCCACTGCACCCCTAAATGATTTACTGCAAGAAAACCTTGGCATCCTAAGTGCCCATCAGTGTAGCCCTGAGGCTGCCAATGACATACATCCTCCAAGTTGTCAGTTTAAATGAATAGATTTGTTTGACTCCGCACCTTCCGCTACCAGGCTGTCCCACAGACAGTACTATCCAGTCTCATTTTGCACAAGGCGAAACTAACCCTTCATATTATTGCTTTATACTGTATTATGTACATATTGAGGTGTTGTTCATAATGTACCATTGCCCAGTTTGTCCAAGTGGGCCTGCCTTTGTGTCACATGGCCCTTCAAGTATTACAAAACACATTATAGCTGTAAGCTGTAACCCATTTACTTGGCTGATTTCTATACCTGCAGCTGTGATTTAAGTGGCAGAGGTCTAAAATCTGCTGGCAAATAAGATGCCAATGATCAGGTGTCCTTGAACAAACTCTCACATATTATCCTAGGAAAAACTACAATGCAACAAGTGAACAAGAAATAAACAGAAAATGCCAAATGTGTCCCCAGGCAATCTAGCCCACAATGAATGCCTTCTGCTACTACTTATTAGAAGTCTTCTACAAGTCCAGTTCCAGGTCCTCGATTTCTTCCTCTATCCCTTTCCTCCTGGCCAGCTTGTCTAACTGCTCTTTGGATGGCTCGGTAATCTCTCCACAGTCTATTTTTTGCTGGAGTTCCTCCACCTGTCGCAGCTTTTTCCGGAGATTCTTGAGTTTCTTTGCGTTCTCGGCTGCTGGGTTCTCATTGGTCGTTTTGTCCTTGGCTTCTGAAATGTTAACCTTCTCCAGTTCCTCTATGGTCTCTTCCACTACCCCCCGCTCGCCTTTTTCTTGTTTTCTTTTCTCCTTGCGCTTCAGATTCCTTTTGGCTGTCTTCGATAGGGAGCTTTCTATTTCTGCCTTTGTGGACTGCTGCGTCTTGTTAGCAGAGGGATCTGTATGGCTCATGCCGGGCGGAAGGGAAGGCTTACTTTTGAAAAACTTCACGTACTTGTTTTCATAACTAAAGGAGGAGAGATTATAATATTTTGTTTTAGTGAACAACAATGTAACAAAATAGCCTGTAAACAAAACCTTCTGTGGCCAAACTTCTTATTTCATATTTTCATCAGAGACCTGAATGGCAGAGTGACAGCATCTCTTTAATGTGTATCTAATCTCAAGATCATAAAATGTAGAGCTGCAACAATTATCCGATTAAGTCGATTAAAATCGACGATGAAAAACATTATCAACGTTTTCCATCATCGATTTGTTGGCTATCATTCAGAAAGCCCGTTCGCGGCTCCATACACGAGCTACGCACGCCGCGTACGTCACCGCACAAGCCACACACACACGCTAAGCCGGACACACCGCTGCCGTCACGACAAGGATTCAGAAACAGGTGAGGGGGACCTGTTTTTAAAAAAAAAAGCAGCACACTGCAGAACACCAGCAGCTATAGAGGAACAACAAAGCCCAGCAATAATACATTATATACAACACAATGCAGAATACCAATGTATAATACAGCGGCACACTGCAGAACACCACAGACTAGATAGATAGATATATATTCTGTTCGGTGGTGTTCTGCATTGCGCTGTATTATATATTGGTATTCTGTATTGTATTGTGCATGGTGTTCTGCATTGCGCTGTATTATATATTGGTATTCTGTATTGTATTGTGCATGGTGTTCTGCATTGAATAATACAGCAGCACAATGCAGAACACCACCGAACAGAATATATATCTATCTATCTAGTCTGTGGTGTTCTGCAGTGTGCTGCTGTATTATACAATGCAGAATACCAATGTATAATACAGCGGCACACTGCAGAACACCAGCAGCTATAGAGGAATACAGATCCCAGCAATAATACATTATATACAGCACAATGCAGAATACCAGCAGCTACAGAGGACTACAAATCCCAGCAATAATATATTAACCAGCCTGTATAATGTATTATTGCTGGGATTTGTAGTTCCTCTATAACTGGTCAGTGATATTCTGCATTGCGCCATATAATCATTATACAGCGCAATGAAGAATACCAGCAGCTATAGAGGACTACAGATCCCAGCAATAATACATTATATACAACACAATGCAGAATACCAGCAGCTACAGAGGACTACAAATCCCAGCAATAGTACATTATAGTATAATGTGCTATTGCTGGCATTTGTTGTATTCCTATATAGCTGCTGCTATTCTGCATTGTGCCGTATAATCATTATACAGCGCACTGCAGAATACCACCAGCTATAGACGAATACAAATCCCAGCAATAATACATTATACAGCGCAATGCAGAATAACGCCAGCTAAAATGTATATACTGCAGCTTGCGAGTCTGATGTGGTGGCTGCATTATTTTCCTTATTTCAGGCTTGTGAGAAATGCAGCGTCCTTGTAATTTTCTGTGCAATGAACGAAAATCAAGCAACCCTTCCAAGCTATTCTCTCCAATTCCCTCACCCACCCAATTAATGGAGATGTAGTAGGAAAGACGTGTTTGTAGTCCAAATCATGGGAGTGGACAAAGATGACAACTCTGCTCCCTCTAATGCATCCACCACATCTAAGGACTGATACGCTGCAATACATTACATTTTTGTCTTTAGAGTTTGGATACACTTTAAGGCCTTGTGTTCATGTCAGAACTGCATTTTTCCTCACATACACACCAATGTAAATACAAAATCAGCTTACAATGTTTAAATGCAGGTAAAGAGAAGGTCAGAAGCATATCTAAAGTGAAGCATCAAACTGGTCTGATATGGAAGCTGAATGCACCTGACTGCATGTTAATTCTTCCCATGATACAAAGCCTAGGAGACCAAGGCTTCCTTAATGAAGGTGGCAGCACAGGCTTTTAAACACACTCCCAGCTGCTAAAGTGTTTGCATCTAACAATCCAACTGTTGGCTTTCTGGTAGAAGTGATTCAGTTCTACACCCCCACCTAAGGTGATGCCTGGCCATGTATCCCAGGTTTTTCTGTTTTTCCAGCGGGCTCATGACCAGCATGTGTATTTGTGAAGGGCAGAGCACAATCAGCGAGCATCCGTTTACTGATCGTCTCTGCACCGAATGAAGCCGAAAGTGACGAGCATATAGTCACTTCCAGGTTCTGAGAGGTCATTCCCTGGCCACTGTGAATGAGGAAGAAGCTGATCAAGCACGATCTTGCTTGATCATCTTCACTGGGGTCCATAGGTGACATTAGGGGTCTAATAGACCCTCATGTCTCCTTAAAGAGAACCTGTCACATACATTGTGCTATCACACAGGAGGCTTGTTAGCAAGCAACAAAGTATAAAAAATGAGAGTAAAAACTTAAAGATAAATAAAAAAAAACACTAAAAAAATGTTTTAGGGCCTGTTTAAACCAAAATCGTACCGAAAAACATAAGTCAACAGAGGTCCATTGACTTACAATTTTAACCTCCGCTGACTTCTGTTTTTTGTCAATGTTTATTTTAATTGACATGTCATGAAGACAAATTTCTATTTTATTTTATTTTTTTATATTGTGTTCTGTTGACTTCCGTTTTTGCTCTACTTTTTTTCAGCGCACTGAAAAGCAACGCAGCGGTGTGAACTGGTCCCATTCACACTCATACATTTTTTAGGGGGAAACCTTCTGTTGGCATCCCTTGAAAATCAGATCCTAATGGATTTGGTGTGAATGGGGCTTTAATGTAAAAGGAGTTTTGTCCATCCACGTTGTTTTATTAGTGTATGGCCAGCTTAACCCGATCAAAATTTGAAATGGCTTTCAACTTGAATAAACAAATAACCATGAGGCAGAATAAGTGATTTAAAAAAAAAAAGTGAAATGAAAAAGCACAAGTAAGGCCCCATTTACACACGAATCGGCCTGCATGAATAGCTCCGTGCGGGGCCGTACCAAGCAGCTGCCCGGAAGGAAATGTGCTGCGTGTGATTAGTACGCAGCCCCCGTCCTTCTCTATGGGGCTACGCAGCCGTACGCCCCCTACGCTTTTCTGGCCGGGACGCATACAGTATCCATTCCGGCGGCGTATGAATACGCTCACCCGCACCCCTACAGACGTGCAGGGCAGGCCAGCGTAGGGGGACGTACGGCTGCGTAGCCCCATAGAGAAGAATGACGGGGGCTGCGTACTAATCACACGCAGCACCTGTCCTTCCCGGCAGCTGCTTGGTACGGCCCCGCACGCAGCACGGAGCTGTACGTGCAGGCCAATTCGTGTGTGAAGGGGGCCTTAACGAGCCAATAAATATTACATATGGAATATACAAAACTAGCAAGCAAATCAGCACAATATAAAGAGCGTAGGGAATAGGAAGAAAATGATAGATCACAGATAACAGAGCTTTTAAGAAAGCAGATAACCAGAAAAGGAAATGTAGATGGTGTGTTTCATTGTAAAAATGTCAAACGGAGATATAATCAGGGCTGTCCTTCTGTGAAGCCCAAAGCTAAACAATCTTAAGAACCATGAAATGTCAGTGTCTGGGGAGAAGGCATGGTTAACCTCTTCATGTGGAGGGGTAACTGTAATCTTGATGACAAGGCCAAATTCAGAATGTTTTGTATGTGGCAACTCTTTTCATATAAACCGCTCTGTATACCAAAATGATATTCACACTATTTGTTCAGGACATGCAAAGTTTTAGGGGAAGATGGTTATAAAAAATACACTGAGGAAATTTTTACAAGCAAAAACACTAAAATCAATGTTATAAAATGGAATTTTTCATTTTTAAAGCCAAACCTTTAAGAAATATCAACACTAAAATATGTTCACCTATGTTATCCTGATTTCAGGGACCCCAAATATATGCAATATATATGATACAGACAATTAAACAACTCCAGGAAAATGTTTTTTTATTAACCCTTGCCCTGTGAAAAGTTAACTGCTCATTTGAAAAATATGACAAAGAAGACCCAGGACTGTTGAGCAGTTAGAATTCTAGATCAGGCAAGATTGGGCGACAATATTTATTTCCCAAAACTCCAGCAACTGGTCTCCTCAGTTCCCAGACATTAGAGTGTTATTAAAAGACGAGGGGATGTTACACGTGGTAAACATGGCCCTGTCACAACTGTTTTGAGATGTGTTGCTGCCATCAATTTCAAAATTACCTATTCTTTTTCTTAAAATGGTGCATTTACACAGTTCAAACATTTGATGTGTTTTCTAATGTGAATAAAATTTTTGATTTATAAATTTGCAGATCATTGCATACTGTTTTTAAGTAGATTTTACACAGCGTCCCAACTTTTCTGAATTAGGGTTGTATATGCATCTAAGGATTTCCAATAAATCTGGTCATAGCTTGCGATTAGATGCTTTTATCTAAAGTCACTTTATCTGTGTTTTGCCAAAATAGAAGTCAGGGGCATCTAGGAATCGATTTCAACTTCTAAATTAAACAAAACGTATGTCAATGCAATTTGATGCTAGGATTTGGTACCAGATGCATCGAAAATGTATATGCATGTAAACGCATGAAGACAGGAAGTGACTTAAGCAGATCATTAGTTTGCAAATGCAACAAAGAATGGGAAAAAAAGTATAAGTTATTTTGTTAAAAAAATAAACAAATGGAAGTTGATAATAATACCCAGGGGTTTAGCAAGCTGTCATTCAGCTAAGGTATACAGCTACTTCGTACTTACTAATAAGTGGCCCTGTTGTTTTTCTGCTAAACAGGCAAATCACAGGTTCACATTAACATAGTGTTCATTTTTCTCTCTATTCCACACAATAAATAAAACAAGAAAATCGAATAGAAACCTCAAATAGAAAATAAAATAGAAACCTCAAAATGACTCATCCACTCCCTTGTTATCTTTCGTCTTGACTATTGCAACTCCCTCCTCATTGGCCTACCTCTACACAGGCTATCCCCCCTTCAGTCCATCATGAATGCAGCTGCTAGACTCATCCACCTAACCAACCGCTCAGCGTCTGCAACCCCCCCTCTGTCAATCCCTCCACTGGCTTCCAATCACCCAAAGGATAAAATTCAAAATATTAACAACCACTTACAAAGCAATCCACAACTCTGCCCCCGGCTATAGCTCAAACCTTATCTATAACTATAACCATATCTCAACCTTGTCTCAAAGCATCACCCTAACCATCCCCTCCGCTCTTCCAAAGACCTCCTGCTTTCCAGCTCCATCGTCGACTCCTCCCATGCTCGCCTTCAGGACTTCTCTAGAGTCTCTCCCATCCTATGGAACTCTTTACCTCAACCTGTCCGTCTATCTCCCACTCTGACTGCCTTTAGGTGATCCCTTAAGACTCATCTCCCTTAAGCCTATCCCGCCTCAAACTAACCACTGAACTATCACGTTCTCAAACATTCATCCCCACACAGCTACCACCTCTTGTATCACTTCCTCCTCCCTTTTAGATTGTAAGCCCTCATCGGCAGGGCCCTCCTTACCATCTTGTCTTGTATTGTAATGTCTTCTTTATTTTGTAAAGCGCTGCGCAAACTGTTGGCGCTATATAAATCCTGTATTATAATAATAATAATAATAAATAGAAAAAAGTGTAGGTATGAAATAAAAAATCTAGCTAAAAACAACCCCCAAACATTCATGTAAATCATTCCGGTAAGCTTACTTCCGTATTATTTCAATCAGTGCGATATATAGCAATTATGCCAGTATTATATTACTATAGAAGACACCACAGAAGATCCATGCAGCTATTTACCTAACGTGGTCTTTCTGTGAATGTAAATTGTCCACAGAACACACCATCAGTTTACTCAGAGCACTTTATAGAATTTGTATATACCGGACTACTGATACAACTTTTTACATAATGTCAGAACTGCGTGAGTAAAGTCTTGAGAAATCCATGAATTATGCAACTGACATCCTTTAGGTGTATTTCCTTCTCTGCAGTCAAGTCTGAGAAATCCCCACTATACTGTATATGTTTGTTATGAGTTCCTTTTCACACAGCACACTCAAAAATATTACAAAATTCTTGTACTTTTAGCTGTTTCTTTGGAGCAGGATTATACATGAAACTCTATTTTTAGCTTCTACTGCTTTGAAGAGATGCCAATGTAAAGATAAGTGACAGACTAGGGGCAGGACTTATTACTATACAATGTCTTGAGATCCCTAACCCTTTGTTGGGACAGAGTGCCCTGTACATCTAGTTAACAATTGCTAATGAAATCTGCCAGCACAGTACAGACAGGGTTAATTATGGCAAACAACTCCCCAGCCCCCTCATAAACATGGCATAGCAAGGTAGGGCTAAGCAGGATTTTTTAAGCCCTATAGTTTTTAGAGAAGAGCAATTTTTAAGTTATGCTATGTGAATGGGAACATGTAACAAATATAATGTAGGTATTGTCCCAATTTGGCTACAAAAGTGGAAATACCCTTTAAAGCTACATTTTGGATTAAAATAATACTTACACAGGAACTTCCTCTTGAGGCACATAGCCCTCCTTTACTTTCCTCTGTTTACGCCACGTGCCATCCGGACGTTGAGTGGATGGTATGTATTTCCCTACAAAAGAAAAGCACAGCAAGAGCCGAATAGTAACTAGATTTATCATGATCACGTTTGTATTATGCATGAGCACACACCTTCATTAATACCTTTCTTCTGTATACATAAACTCCTCTAAGATATTCATATACAGTGCATATGACAACACTAGAGAAAGGGGAGGCAGGAAGACCAGTCCAAGCCCCAAGTGCATATAATAAAGTGACGTATAGAACAAACAAATGGTTAATGTGTTTAATGTCACTGTACCTACTAGGACAATTATATATCCTTGCAGGCATTACACCCAAAAAAACAGTAATCAAAGCATAATATGCTAGGAACGGGCTGGTATGGCATGGCAAAACCCTAAACAACGCCTTTCAGAGCTTGGTGGCAGTGGAAACCACATGCCAAGCGCCCTCTTTCAATGCTTTGATGAAGACGTCCTCAGGCCCTGTTCACACAAGTATCAGCTTGTATAAGAGCAGTGTGTACAGCAAGTTTGAGCCAGATTTGTTGAAGCCTTTAAAGCCCCATTCAGCTCAGATTTCGGGAAGTTACACACCAATCTTATGCAAGTTTAGAAAAAGACATTCACAGAACTTAAGAAAAGTTACCATATGCCACCACAAGTAAGTGCTGCCAACTCTATGTTTTAATTAACTCACTCGATCAAATGAATGTAGGTCACACAAAGATAATCGATCAATTCGTTACCCATCATAACTTCATTAAAACGTACAAAATACAGGGTTTAAAAATCCACATCCACAGATGGTAACCAACTGAAAACTTTTTCCACCACTTCTGAACCACAAATACAAATGGACCATTATATGTAATAAAAACCATGAAAAGGAACAGGAAGTGTTAAAAATAAAACTGATTACATAAAAGCTCCGGTGCAAAAACAAGTTCCTTTTGTTTTGTTTTTATAATATTTAGATGACGTTAATGTGCAGACATCGGACTTCCTTCTCAGTGTGTATGCCCGCAGTAACCAGTAAGGAATATTTCCAATTCAAAATGAGATAGTTTTGGTGCTGGTGTGTCATCGGTTCTTCTCCTCCTCGGCATATCACAAATGATTACATCACTTCATCCAAGATATACCGATAGGGAACACAAGTGTAGGGAGCTTAAAGGAGTTGACTCTCCTGGGTTTCCTGCCTGCATCACCATACTGGATAATGATTACATCACTCGCCATATTTGCTACTAGATTGAATAAAGTATTAAACGCAATGATGTGAGCAGGGACACCGAGAAGTCACCAATCTTACGATATTTGCGTTTACTCAGTCATGACCCAAATTTTACATCTAGAGGGCTGGAAATGAAGATGGTAAACCTTGTGTTCCTTGTTTGTACATACTGGGCAAGGTTTGGAAGCTAGGGAGACCAATGATGGAAAAGCTGTGCCATGGAGACATTTCTTCCCACGTCCTCATCTGGGGACTGACAAATGTTGGATTTCCACTTACTTTGTGTCACAGTGACAGCTACCACCAGCACAGTAACCAAGCATGGATCTTCCATTTAAAACCATAGACTGTTAGAAGTGTAATTTGCAGTCAAAATTAGGTTAGTGTGCTCACCAGTAAAGATTAGCACTGTTCCCCTCAAGACTTTATGAAGGGCGCTCCACCTGGCCTGCAACACCCCCCGGGTTATTTAGAATTTAGGGTAAAGGTGGACTGAGCTCCAGCCAACGTTCAAAGTTGACAATAAAATGCTGATGCTTTGATTTATCTCCACTGCAAGACCCATGAGTGCCCCTGTACCCGCTTTGGATTTGTATAGAATTAAGGGTATTGTAGTAGGGATGCACCGATGCCAATGCCAAGTATTTGGGCGAGTACTCATACTCGCCCAAATACTCCGATACTTACCTCAGATACTGGAACCTCCGGTCAGAGGGAGAGCTCCCTCTGACCGGCAGTGCCAAGGGAGCATGGAGCTGGCTTCCTTTCCAATCAGGAAGCCGGGCGGTGGGTTGTGACCTGCCTTCCAGCTTCCCGATTGGCTAGGAAGCTGGCTTCACGTGTTGCTAAGCAGCCTGGCTTCCTAACCAAGCAGGAAGCTGGGTGGCACCTCATGACTCGCTTCCCGATTGGTCAGGAAGCCACACTGCCTAGAGAAGAGTGAAGCCGGCTTCTTAGCCAATTAGGAAGCCGGGAGGTGGGTCATGATGTTCGGCCAGGCTTCCTGATTGGCTAGAAAGCCGGCTTCACATGTTGCTAAGCAGCCTGGCTTCCATGACCACCTCATGACTCGCTGCCTGGCTTCCTGATTGATCAGGAAGCCAGTGCTGTTTCGCTAGAACACCAACTTGACAGGCAATCAGGAAGCCGGGCGACGGGGCATGATCCGCCACCCGACTTCCCGATAATCGGGGCACAAGGCACCGGTACTCGGTGAGTACCAAAAAAAAAAAAATATCGGTACTCAATACTGAAAAACCAGTATCGGTGAATCCCTATATTGTAGTTTTCTCTGTTTCAGAAGCACACGTCATTTTTAGGCTGAATATACACTGAATGGCCAGATTATTATGACCACCCCATCAGTACTCCGTTGGGCCACGAGATGTTGAAAGGTGATGCGAGGAATCCGACCCTGCACTGTTGCCCTTCTGTTGTCTTGTACCAGTCTTGCCACTCTCCGTTCTGCCCCAACATTGACTAGTCGCTGACGGCCACAATTCGCACGTTCAGACCCAGATTTTCGGCTGACAGTCCAGTCTTTAAACACTTTAACAACAGCTGCTCTTGGACATTTAACGAATTCTGCTGTTTTGCTGATACTCGCTCCATGGCTCCTAGCGCCCTCTAGCAACTTCAGCGCAAAATTATAGCTAATTTGCCTACAAACGTCAGGTGGTCATAATAATCTAGCTACTCAGTGTATATGGTACTTATTAATTCAACACAGTCTGGTATTTTATATTTACTAAAAACATCAATTTCATAGACATTTGTTCAAGATTTCTATTCATCAATGAGTCTTTTTTTATTATTGGTAATGCGGCCAGTAACACACTTCCGGTCTTAGGAGGAGCAAAGGAGCCCCCCGTTGGACAGCAGCATTGTCACCCTGTGGGGAAGGTAGTGTTAAGCTGGGTATAGATTTTCGAAAGAACGTCCTTACATAAGAACGTTCTTTCAACTTTCTTTTTGTTGATGGGGTCAAATCTACGATTGAGTCTTTCCAAATGCAGTGACAAAAAAACCTCAAAGGAACGAGATGGAAAATTTGAACGAAATTCTAAAAGTGGAAATCTTTTTTATTCAGGAACCTCCATTTATTCCAAAACCAAACAAAATTTTGATTGACATTATCGGGTAATAAAGAAAGATCTTTTGTACGAATGTTAATTGGGAAATCTACTAGTGTACGGCCAGCTTTAGATGTACTAGTAGATTTACATGGACTTGACTAATAAATTGAAGCAAATGTTTGATTAACCTTTTCAGTAGAGCTACCCCCGTACTGCAAGGGTTAAGTTCTTGCTCTGGTCTAGGGAGGAAAATAAGAAGTTATACTCACCATATCCTCGGAAGCGAACTTGCTCTTAGACCGGTAATTCCAACCTCTCTCACCCTCCTCTGCAGCAACCAAAGGTTCCTGAGTCATCACATTCTATACACATTGTATAGAATGTGAGGATGCCAAGTGACATACCATCACTGCAGCGGAGGAGACAGGCTGGAGGGAGCTGTCACAGCCAGCTGGCTTAGAGGATCAGCGGAGTATAACTTTGTTATTTTCCTCCCTAGACCAAAAGAAGCGCTTAACCCTTGCAGTGTGGGGGTAGCTTCAGGGAAAGAGACACAAAACACACTGGGAATCCAGGAAGTTGTTGGAAGTGATGGGCAGATGGAAGGCAGCACTTACTACATAAAAGTTATTTTTTCAAGTAAGCTTTGATTGTATTATCAGATACAACTGTAGTATGAATTCCTATTACAATGCTGATGTTATAACAGGATGGTACATGCTGGGACTTTACAACTCCTTACATTCTAAATGTATGACCTGTAAAGACTTGTAAGGCGTCGCTTACGGACAATTTAGGGTATTATACTATTTTGTTGCCTCACAGGCGCACGCAGTTTTAATACTTGGCATGTTAGGTATCTATTTACTCGACACAACCTCATCTTTTATATTTCACACAGAAATTGGGTATTTTATTGCGTTTGTGTGAACTAATAATAATTTGAGTGCGTTTTCTACTGAAAATATGGGTTTGATAATATCATGTGACATTAAAGAATGAAAACCCT